AAAAAATCCACCGCGCAGGCTCGAAGGGTTAATGACCTTTCCCAAATCTTCGCTCACGAAGACTGGCCATTATTAAATTTTTAGAAATGACTAATGTCTTTTAAATGGGAAACATATTAGTCCTGCAGGTGCCCACGGCAGTAAGCAAGAGTTGCTACAGCTTTACCCTTGAGAAGAAACATAAGGCAGATGAACAAGCAATTTAATAATGCCTATGCAAGAAGAGATCTGGTAAGTGGGATCTACGGACACAGCTGAAAGGATGCTTTCTCCAATGACTAGACTAAAGAGAGTAAACGATTTGTACACTGTTTTTCTTGGCACGTAGGTGTAGTAGAAAATACAAAATCACATGTGGTATGCGCCCTGCATGCAGCTAAGTTTGCAATGACAAATTCCAAAGTTAGCCTGCTGTTTCACTACCAATGATTACTAGAGACTTTGAGAAGGAATAATGCCCAGTACCTTGTAATGTAGCAGTAGTTCAGAAAATAAATCCTATCTGACAATTTGTGTGGTATTTTTAAAGCTGGCAAAGGACTAGTACAGCAGAGCTTTAGAATGAAGTAACTTCAATAATATAATTGTAAGAAAAATAAATTTTCAGTACATGTTCTAAAAGCTTTAGTTAATTGAGCCTTAAAATAATGTTTTGGGGTTTTTTCCTTCCAAAAAGACACAGCTCAAGGGGCATCCTAGTTCACATTAAAACGCACATCACACCCCTCCCCTGCAATATCACTACCTATAGAGATACATAAAAAAAGTATTTTTTATGTGTGGACTGGAAACTAGGCAACATCCAACACAGAATTTTCTCTAACACTGCTAAGGCATATAGGCTTGGCTGTCACACATTTCTCCATGACCAGTGTCCAAACTTCAGTTTGCCATACCACTGAACCTTTAGGCATCAAAAGAACAAAATGTTCCAACATTCCCAATGGTTGCTACGGTTCACTGTTAGTGCTGCTATCTCTGTATGCTGTATAGCTGCACAGCTTACTAAAGGAAATTTATCTTCAGAACAGCTTACAGTTATTATTGTCTGATGGTTCAGCAATGATAAATTACAGCCAATAAGTTTATTTGCAGTTTGCTGATGGAGTTAAACAGCTTCAAATTCTTTTGAGAGCAAGAAAAATCCATATTTCCAAATGCAAAAGTAGTCTTTTAGAAGACTCATCCATTGATGATTCTATCTATGCATTAGATGACAAAGAGGATTGCTGTTTTAAGTTCTTGTATTTCTCTCAAAAATGTGATTCCAGGAAAGAATGTGTCCAAGACTCTGCACCTTTTATGTTCTACCATATAGGCTTCAGACTGGAAAACCCCAGCTTTTTACTTTCAGTGTTAATATCCTGTCTTACACTCCTGCCTGACTGGGCTGCAAGTAACATTTTCATGCAACACAAGGCAAGAATAAAGCACTGAAGTCTCTAAAACCATCAGTCTTGAAGTCTCTTAATTGTTTTAATACATACTTGTACCTACAATATTTTGCAAGTTTTCAGTATTTTACACATGCCAACAATCAACATGCTTTAAAGTTCTTACTCTCTAACTATATCTGCCATTACATTTCCCTGCTGCTTATATCTGTATCAACAAAAACCTATATGGGACAAGGAAAAAAAAAGCATTTTATTATAGACATCGCCTGGCACATCATGTGTATTTACCTTTTTGTTCCCACTCTGTGGTTTGGGGCAATATCAATTGTGTCTGTAGCTGAATCATGCCTAACTGCCAATCCCAGGTCTGCAATGCAGCATGTTCCATTCTTTTTCACCAATATATTTTTTGATTTCAAATCTCTGTGGGCAATTGCTGGTTTGCCTGGAAGGGAAAAAATAGAAATAACATATCTACAAAAAAAAAAAAAAAAAAAAAAAAAAAAAAAAAAAAAAAAAAAATAAAAAAAACCAAATTGCTTTTATTCTAAGCGTGGTGCAAATTTTGTTTGAAGTTACAGAATTCCTTCCAGTTCTGACACTTTACGTGTATCAAGGTAACTCCTGAAATCATTCATTGTGGATTGTCTGGCTGTTCAGGACAGTGCCTCACATTTACCATATTACACCACTCTACTGCTCCTTTCCCTCTTCCTGCAAATATTTACAGCACACACATACTGCTTCCCATAAAAAAGTTTCTAACATTTCTGGAAATAGACCCTTAGTGCTGTCTCAACTTGAAGTTAAGGAGACACTACATGCACCATTAGTTGGTGCCCTTTAATAGGTTTTTTTGTAGGAATGATTGTTACATCACAATGCCATAGAAAGAAAGACAAAGAGCTGTCCAAATTAAGTTCTATTAATAAGAAATTATCACATAGTAGAATGAACTACTGATGTGTCATTTAAAAAAAAAACAAACAGAAAACCAATCAGTATTATCCATGTGACAAGCTGAAAAATTGTAAGATTACCTTGTGTGCCAACAATTTCCATGTGCAGATGAGCAAGGCCACTGGCAGTGGACAAAGCTAATTTTATCATTCCTTCCACTGTTACTGTATACCTGTTCAGGTAATCGAAGAGTGATCCATGCTCGTGATAGTCTGACACCAACCACAGCTGAGTCCATGTACCATTGTCTGCAAAATAACACTGGCATGAATAACACATGTACACACACGAAAGACGAGTAAACCACATATTCCACTTCTATACAATGCTTATGAAGCACAAATTATGTTTTGCAAGTTAACTCAGCAAGTTAGACTCTTAAATCTTTATTTCTATCCCTGTAACATTTAAACACCTCTGTAAGGGCTGACAATATCATGGGAGGCTTTCTGAACATCTTAGTAAGTATTCTTTTATTTAAACTAGAAGACAAACCATAGAAAACTCATGTCACCGTAATTCTGAGGTGAATATTCAGAGTGAATTATTCAGGTTATTAGCCAGGTCCTGCCATTCCCAGCTGTTCTGCTGGAGTGTGGGGAGGCAGGAAACAGTGCTGAATGCACAACATAAACCTAATCCTGTCACTATCAGTCTAGTACAATATTGTCCAGGCTAACCATTAATTAAAAAAAAAAAAAGTGTTTCAAGCTATGCCTCCTAACTCCTTCAGTCTTCCCATAATCTGCCCTCAACCTGAGAGACAATTTCAGAGTTACCAGCAGCTGGTGGATTTTTTTTCCTGGAGTAGGAGCTTACAAGCAGCAATTGGACACATGACTTCAAGAATAAAGTTAAATCCCATCTCTAGTGACCTCTAAATTGCTGGCCAAAATTGAGATTTCCAGGAGGCACAAGAGTAAAGAAAAACACTGAGAAAACCAGTTTGCTGCATGACTTTTTGCTGAACTGTGAAAAACAGGACAGGTCATAATACATGTGTAGATATTCCAGGGCATATAAATGACAGATAAGAACTTAGTTGTTCACATTGTAAAGTACTGGACACAAAATATCTTGAAGTTTAAGCCACACAGAGAAGACTATTAAAGCACTCCAAATCAAGAGAAGGGCAAAAGGATTTTTTACCTAAGATGTAAAAACACACTCGGAAAAGAACAATTCTGCCAACAAATAGGTTTTCCAATTTTGTTTTGTTGGGAAAGCAACTCTCCTGTGGCAGACCTGAGAAGTGCTTTCATAGCTAGCAACTTTTGAAGAAGAATCTTTCATCTCTTTAGAAGACTAACTATCCCATAGAAGATTTCAACTGGACTTCTATCCTGAATTATACAGCCCCCATGTGCTCAGAACAAGTGAGAACACTCAGCAGAAGTCAAAAAGATGTCTCATTATGTATTAGTCCCTAAGAATTACTCAGGAACTAAATACAAAGAACATGAAGTAGAGAAGTAAATTCAGGAGTTAGTTCCTATCATAAACACACTGAAAAATTTTTAGTTTCCAAAGAACACACTTGCCTCATGAAAGTCAGAGGCACAAAATGCCTGATTTACAGATTGGCAGAAACTACCTTCATGAAAGCACTTATGCTTATCTTTAACTGAACACTTCAGCGGGCATGGGAAAATTTGCAAGCATGTCTTTTACTTGGATGTTCCTAGGGAGGCCAGCGACGCTGCCACTAAAAACAATCTGAAAAAAAAAAAGGCCTCCAAATACTTCAGAGTAGGGAAATAAAAGACCAATCTACATTCAAATAATTCCCATAATGGAAAGAGAATTCTGGCTTGCTACATTCACAGAATAGTCTCAACTAAGTTGTTAATTTAAACAGGCAAAAGAAAGCAGTCACATGCTCTAACCTGTAAAGGGCTGTTTGAAAGCTGCTACTGCAGCAGGAAGAGTCTTATAATATGCCCAGACTTGGGCACAGAAGGGATGCCTGAGTTTTGTCTTTTAACAAAGAATAAGGAAATTAAAGATTTTTTTTAAATAGCTTCAATTATTTTCTAGAACTGCTCCTTCTCTTGCTACTTTGCAATATCCAAGCATGAACTCATTTAACTCAGCATAGTATTAAATGTGACTTTTCTCAAAGAGAACTATGGTCTCTGAAAAGTCAATCTAACAGCATTAGCTTCACTAAAAGCAGTCTTATAGACCCATTAGAAACAGGTATGAGTTCACAGCCACATAAGAGATAGTCTCAAATACATATAATCAAAGAGCTCCAAAGAGCTGCAAAAGTCCAAAGTAAACTAACTTAATCACTTCAGAATATTCTCTTCACTCAGTTTTATCCTACTACTTCATCAGTTATGACCCTACACTGCCTTAAATGATTCTCTCCTAGGCATTAACACCATACACACTCATTGCTTGGTCCTGTATTTTATTTCTTCTCCTCTTTCTTATGAATGAGAGACCTCAGCAGGTGTCTAAATTAGACAACAAAAAGTAGAGAAATAAACTAATTTTAATTAATCTACCAGATCTGTTGTGTTTATATAAGCTCTTTAAAAGATGTCAGTTTCTGAATAATTATCACTGCTCTGAATCAAGACTAGGGTGCCTTTGCATAAAGTTCCTCCCTCTTAACTCTACATGGCCACCTAAGAGGAGAATATGCTGCTGATTACAGACTTCTACTTCAGTTTTAACTCATTTATTACCTGCAAGCCTTAATATTCAGTTTTTACCTTCCTTCCAAAGAAGAAAATATAAAGCTGGCCTTACCATCCATTCTTAAAGGAGCCACGATTTTTTCGTATTATATGTTGTATTTGTGGCCCTTCAACCAGAGTT